CAGAGTCTTCCTGGAGAGCTAACTAACCCCAGCAGCTTCAAAAAGCACTCACGCTGCAACCAGCACCATCCGGCTCGCTACTGACATGTCATGTCAAACGCTGAATGAAGATACACCTAAAATCAGAGAGAATTTACACTAGAACCCATCATCACCGAGACCGGGACAGCCTAAAACTGGCAGCGCTAGCCAGAGGAAGCCGAGCTTGAGTGATTAGAATGATTTCAATAATAGATCATAACCTCAAGGCCAGGCCTTCCGGCATGTTTTTAAAGATACGAGATAAGACGATTTGACAAAAGCGCCGTTCCCTAGACTCACCTGCCACAGCTGACATCTGCTGGCTGGTCATCACCTGTAATGCGTTTAGGCAGACTGAAATCGCCGGCGGGGAAACCAGAGCGTTTTAGCCATGGCTCTTAAACTACCGCAGCCCTGACCACGCTGTAATAGGCTTCCTTCGGCTCCTGTGTCCAAGAGGAAGGAAAGCAAACTACTCATGGAAATTTAATGAGCGCACAAATCTTTAATTTCCCTCGCCCTGATTAGAGGGGCTGAGGAGATAACGGATACTAAATGAATACTAGATGTGGAATTTTAGCTCAGCAGCAGAGCTGATTCTTTAATCTCACAAAAAGTGGATGTTTTTGCGTTGCAACATATGAACCTAACTCGTGTTCCACAGTTATGGAAATTATAAAAAGAGTAAGACTGGCTGAAAAAATATGCATAAGGCAATTCATAAATGAACCATGCTTTGCCCATAAATGTATTTTTTCTCAGCAACTGATGCAAGATTGGAAAAGCTGTACAGAGCAATGGCCAACATCCCATTCAACCTTCAACTCCATTTTTGTTAAAAGGCCCACATCCTGCAATTTCATTGTATTTTATTTTTTTCTTGAGATCCATTTATAACATTGGGGTGGTTTTATGTACCAAAATGTTCCTAATTCCTTTTTACATGGCCATTTTCCAACCTTTCTTTATGCCTTAGAACTAAATGGCGCCTTAATGAATGAGCTCTGTCTTCTATTGTGCCTCATTTAAAACGCACTCAGATCTGAACTTCAGTGTGAATGAGTAGGTCTAAATTTCTGTAGGCTGAATAAGTGGATATATGTAAATAAATTGATTCTTGTAACATCACAGAAACAAACAGGGCTGTTTTTGCAGCTTAGTGTCCATATTTGATTTGGGCAGTGAAGGGAAATTTGGGTTTCAATGATATGAGCACTTTAAAACACATAAATAGAGCGTATCACTGATTTAAATGTTATATATTTCCTATAAAGAAGAAAGGTCACACAGTTAGACCTGTTTCAACTGGAAGCAACTCTTCAGTTTCACTCTAGGTACGATGTGATTATTGCTAATGTACTGTGGCATCTAAATGGATGCGTCAATTATGATGGCACAGAAGGACAAAATTATGCAATAAAATATTGAGCATACAGTGTTTCCCACAGGTCTGGTGGGAGCACCGTTGGGAGGTGGTGGGGGGGGGGTGATAAGTATATTTGGATACCCAAATTATCATAGCATTTGTTTACTTATTTGGGTATCAAAGGCATTTTCAGTTGTGAAGCACCTCATGGGCTAAAGTTTAGGTTCAGGTTTAGGTTCTGGAAATGACCTCAGGTAAAAGGAGTGATGCTTTGCATCAGTGACACTGTGTGCCCTAGTTAAGTCATAAAATCATAAAATCTTTTTTCTTCTTGGAAATTGCTGAAATGGGACAAAAATGGAAATCATATTGCGCTAGAATTAGAAATATCCTTGGGCTGCCTTCAGCATATTTAGAGGGGAGTCACCCAAATATAGCCTCTATGTGGGAAACACTGGCATATGAGCCATTCTTATAAAAGTCAATGAGAATCAGAAATCACACCACATTTTCCTTCTGTACCGTATATGTCTGAGAGAAATGCGGTGTCAGGTTTCTGAGTTGGCTGAGAATTTTCGCTCAATGATAGGTGGGCGTGGTGATAATATTGGTTAATATTATTTTCCCCACCCACTGGTGCACAGTAATCAAAAATCACAAGGCATTTTTTTGTAAATGGTATGGTTTGATGAATCACGCTCAATACGACCAGTGACAAGGTAAAGTTCTGATTTCAGGTTGGCTTTAGCTCTTCTTGAGAGTATATCTCTGTTTCCCCTTACTACCGTCAGTTTTAAACACAGGAGAGCGGCAATGTCCCGAACGGACCAGAAGAGTGGTGAAACAACACACAGGCTTAATACCAGCCATCTGAAAAAACATCCACGCTGCAGCGGCCCACTCTAACGTGCTCTTCTGAGAGCAGTTTGAGTGAGGCAGCTGTCTCACTGCTACAGCCGTATCATCGCCACTCCTCACACATGAGGTGAGAGGTCCACATGTTTGTTTCCGTCTCTGGTCTACGGGCTCATGTTCATACCTATTTAAAGTCTGTGTGGGTAGGTCTGAGAGCGTGTGCATATCATTGCTGTTGTGAGAAAACCTCACATATCCAAAATGGTAACTTTATAGGAGAAGAAAATGTCAAGAGTTAAAACTGGAATTGCATAAATAGATAATAATTACATAGTAAGTCATACAGTGAATTACATTTGCATTCAATTTCTGACTACTAACATTTTTCCATTTGTTCTAATGTGACGAAATTTCAAATACATTGTAAAAAATTTAACGTACTGTAGACACAACATTAACTTTTCATCAGTTTTAAATTAAATTCTAAATTCTAAAATCGAAAAGTGTTAAATAAAGGTAATAATGTGACTTCAAAAAACTTAAAAGCTCTGCTTTTCAGCATTTCCATTGGTCCATTCATCCTGAGACATTCACATATACTATAAAGGGCAGACTGCAGTGAGGTTTTCTTATGACAGCGTCAATATGCAGCTCCTGGGTATGTGTGAGAGGGGTGGAAAGGAATGTATGCACACAGTGTGGGCTGCAGGGGTAGAGGCCAAAGGGGCCTATAACTCCTCTTTAACAATGCTCTGATGTGTGGTGGGGCAGGACCCAGCTGGACCAGCTGACCCTTTACTGCCGGCCAGGTGTGGTTAAGAGGCCTCATCTACACTGAGCAATCTCACAGTCTCACACCAGGTACAGCAGCAGTGGAGGTCGCAGGAGGGAAGACACAGCATGATGAGGAGGGTGCACTTCCACAGGATATGAACACAATATCATAATTATACTATACTGTGACCACTTCATGTGATGTGGTTAAAGACTGGCCTTCCTTGTTTTGACCACATGCACACACTTGTGCTTTTACAACGTCAGGACACTTATATGCATTGCATAGTCATATGGAAAAGTTTGAACAACTAAATGACGTTTTGTTGATTTTCTAAGTGAAAAGAAGTTCACTTCTTCTACAGGGAACTTTCATATGACAATTTTCTGCAAATTTAGAGCACAATTTCTATTTATTTGCACAGGTTATGCTTTATTTTTTCCCAATATATTCAACTCAGCAAATAAACAGTAATTGTGTATTAATATGGTCAGATTTTCACTTAAAATAAACAAAAAATGTCATTTGACCAGGGGTGCCAACTTTTGCATACAACTGTATATGTAACATGGATTTTGTAATGTCTGTTCCTAAATCTAACCTAAGACTGAAAGAGTGGCTGTCAGCACATTCACAACACATTGTGTTTAAACTTAAATAACGTCACAACAGGGCTGACCGATTTGAAGAAAATATCTGATTGTGATTTTTCTGCCCGATATTGCGACTGTGATTTAAATTCTGATTTCTTTACATTTTTGGTCTGTCATTTACAAAAGTATAATAAAAAATGCAGCTCTTGCTATTTGCCAATTGCACATTTTCAGCTTGCAAATTAGATATAAAAAAAATTATTTTGTCTATGAAACTAGAGAAGCTCAGCTTTCTGACAAAAATCCCAGGCCTGATCTACACAACATCAGCCATACTGCCTCCCCATTAGATTGCAGGGTACACAGATCAAAGTTCAGCAGCCATTTTTTCTCTCTTCTAGTTAGGTTGTTGTCATCGCTTGGCAGCCAGTCAGAAGATTAAATACAACATCCAGCAGACCCAATCGAAGCAGGGGTTTAGCTTTAGGGACCCTCCCACACTGCTATGGTTTCGTTTTGAAGACGTGACTGCTCACACTGTGGGAGCAGCTTTAAATACGGCTCACAAATTCCAGCGTGACTTTTGAAAACTTCAAAACATTTGACATCTGACCTTAAAAACAACGAATTTTTCCTTAAGATGTGTATACTATGTGTGAAATACTACAAATGCTTTTCGATGGCAGTGATGATGAGGCTGGCGACACCTTGGGAAATGTCAGGAGTGTGATGGAGCTCCATACAGCTAGATAGCAATACATGACACCAGTAAGAGCATAAACTAAACATGCTTCCTCATAGAGCTGAGAAAAATGGCAACAGACCTGTACAGATAGACAACAGAGGCTTCCATTGTCTTTTATAAGCTGTTAAAATGGCTGATTGTTTGGATTATTCATTCAAATTGTTTGATTCTGTATATTGCAACAAAACTTCATATCTAAAAATGGTAACTTTACAGAAGAAGCAAAAAACATACTTTACTTTTAATGTAAGTCAATTTAAACAGATTTTTTTTCCAAGTCATTTTGGGCCATTTGTTTCAGTCCATTCATCATGTAATTTACATACAGGGTAAAGGGCAAATGACCAAAATGGAAGTAGGAGGTTTTGTTCCGATGGCAGTGACATTTTCATTGTCTTTTCAAAGAGATTCTGCTAAATCAGAACATGTAAGTCATATGGTAATAGTGTAAAATGTCACCAAGTTACAGTCAAAAATCTAAAGATGTATCTGCCTTTGCCTTTTCAGTTTTAAAACATTTGTAAAAAAAAAGCACTTCACCAAATCAGGACCATTTTGTTGGTCATAACATTACGTCACTCCGGTTTTTCCTCTAGGTTTCCCACACTAAAAAATGTAGAAAATCAAACAAATGCACATAATTACCTCTTTCTCATCATAGTGTAGTGGAGCTCCTCCTCTTGCTTGATGTCAGCATGGTCTCCGTTGACCCTCTCGCTCCCCTCGCTGTCGTCGCTGCTGAAAACGGAGGCCAGCTCCTTCTTGGGCACGCGGGTTGGAGGCAGCGGGATGGTGCGCTTCTCTGCCAAACGCCCACGGTTCTGCAGGAGCACAGAGGAGACGCACACACGCTAAGAGGCTGAGGACAGGCCCAGGCACCCGCCACATTCTCACATTCACTGCGTTTAGCCAAAAGCCGAAAAAAGCTCCCCGACTGGTATGGGGTAGCGCCGTGCTTTCACCGCGCTTTTGGTCAGTGTCCTGCAAACAGCCAATTTCAAATTCTGCCCTCAGGTCACACTCTTCAAAAACAGTCACAAGGGCTCAAAACCATCAAAGTAGGAAATATATAAAAGACTGGTTGCCAATTGTGGTTCTGAAGTATCCCTGCCCTGCACATTTTGGTGCTTTCCCTGCTCTGACACCCACTTCAACACAACAAAACATACACAGCTTCTCCAGGACAAAAAAAAACTGACACAGAGACAGGAAATGTAAAGTGCTCTGAACTGCTGTAAGAGTGAAAAATGAAATTTAGAAAGATAAAATAACTGAAAGATAAAGTAACTGAAAGATAAAGTGCTAAAGTAACTATATATGTGACCACACATTCTTTCAAAGCAACCGTAATAATACTGGACAGATTTTCGCTTTTTGGTATTTTTACCCAATTTTCTCCACAATTTACTCAGAGCCAATTCCCACCTCTTAGCTAGGCCCCCCCACATAAGCTAAAAGGGTGAAGGCCAGCGCATGCTTCCTTCAAAACATGAAAAGCCATCTTTCTGAACTGCTGCTAGTGCAACATCATTGCACAGCTCAACTCACTTGGAGGAGAATGTGAATTGCCAACTCTGTTAGGACAGATAACAGCTAGCATTGACTAGCATCATGCTGAGTGATCAGAGAAGGAGAGCTGGTCATCCAAATAAAAGCGAGACCAATTATGCTCTCTTGGTCTTCCAGTCATGGATGGCTGTGGTATCTCTAAGAATCGAACTAGCGATCTCTTGACAATAGAGCCAATTTTTAGAGGGTTGTACCACTTGAGAGGCCCCTGATTGGAGAAACTTTACAAAGTGTAGGCACATATCTCATTACATTTTTTTCACAAAATACAGATGTATAAATAGCTTTATGAATAGATCAGGTGTAATCAAGTTAGCATTAGCATCATGGTAAATTCCATTAGCTTCAATACCATAACGAACATATTTACTTCACTGAACTTCTATTATTAAGTTAACTATACAATACACTGTGTTACATCTAGTTAACTTATTATTTAAAGTTCAATGAACTCAAAATTTTAAGGCAAGCAGGTTACTAACATTTTTTTAGGTCAACTATGTTTACTTTCTTTTTTTACAGTTTTTACAGCATAAAAACAGACAAAATTACAGATAAAATTCAGATTTCCAGGTGGTTACTACTATTTCTAGCTATGCTATAAAATGAAGGTATGAAACTGTCACTGGGCAGTACCCCTCTTGTCACTGGGGTACATCTCAGAACATAATTGTTCCATAATCCATTAAAATTATATTCTCTAAATTGTACTGACTCCACACACCCCGTCTCGTCTCCAGGATTTTATTTTATTGTTCTGTTTTAAAACATTAGGTTATGAAAAGGTACAAATATGTACTTTGCACCTGGAAAAACTTATTTAAGGTGCACAATTGAACCTTAAAACCACTTCTGTACCTTTGAGGGTGCATTTACATTGTTTGTACCTTCATGAATGAAAAATGTACCTGAAGAGAACCTTTATTTCTAACAAAGTGTCACATACTTTTGTTTAAGGCATACAGTTTGCACAATGCTACTTGGTAACATCACATTTTGGTAACAAAAGCCCATATCTCCAAAATAGTAACTCTTCAGAAGAAGGACAAAACATGCTTAAGCTACAATAAAGGGTACTACGATTTTTTTAACTAATTTTGGACTATTTCTAAACAACAGCTGTGGTTTTCAAATGGAGATGTGAGGTTTTGTCCCGACAGCCATGATAAGCTCCCATTACTTGTTAGCTACATTAGCTTTAGCGCAAAACTAAAAAAACAAACTTCGGACACCGAAGATACAGAGAAATGTACAGTAAACGTGCAATACTTTAAACTCTCAATGAAACAACAAAGGTCAACAAAACTCTCAAGACAATGAAACTTAGAAAGGACCTGTCACTATTAGGCCGGCAGAGGGGAAGACTATTGATCCTGTTTGGGGAGGGAGGAGGGGCGAGAGAGAGAGAAAGAGAGAGATGATACTGATTCCATCTCTTCCGCTCTCTCTCTCTTCGCCTCACACATCTGAAGTGATGGGAGGGATAAAGCAGAAGAGTGGCCCTGGGGGTTTACTGTGTGAAGCTGAGTGACCTTTAATGTGACCTGAAGGGGTCAGTGCAGATTACTGCACCTCCACATCTATCCCTGTGTGAAGTTGGGGGGGCGGTCCAGAGGAAGGAAGAGAGAGGGGACTGTCCGGAGTTATAATGTATGGACGGACGTGCCTTTGAAATTTCAACTGCGACTGAAAAGGCTGTGTATGTGAGGGAGGAAGAGAGGAAGGCACGCCTGTGTCTCAGCTCTGTCAAACTCTGCCGAGCCCTGCAGCTATCCCTACTTCCACACGCGAGGCCAATACACACACACACACAGCATCCCACAAGGACGGCAGTGTGAGTGGCAGGCCGGGGCAGGGGGGTGGGGAGACTAGCCAAGAGGCAAACAGGTGCAGGCCCTCTGGATTCTCTCAAGTGGCATACATTAAAAGAAGGGGGAGAAAAAAGAGAGAAAGATGAAAACATCCCTGAGGATGAGCAGACTGCATAGTTCTACACATTTTTTGTTTGGTGCGAGTGTGTGTGAGCGTGTGTGTGTGTGTGTGTGTGAGTGCGAGCGTCTTTCTTCCTTTTGCAGAGAAAGCAGATTTGCCTCTGTTCTCTGAGACTAAAATGTGTAGCGAAAGCGCTGGAGGAACACGGAGCCGGAGCCGAAGTTTAGGGACACGAATTCCGACTTTTCTGAATGAGGAACACAAAAATCTTCAGAGAACGTATACGACTCATAGGTATATGAATACGCCCACAGACATGCAACGCTCCACATTTCTGCTCTTGTTAAAGTCTAATCAGAATTAACAAGGCTAGCCTAATACAACACACTGATGAAGAAATACACAGCTGAGGCTTATTATTCAACAGATTATGAAAAAGAGCACAAAGTCTTAGGCAGTCAAAATATTTCTTTGTGTTTTTGACTGACATACCATTAGGATAAATCCTTCATATTATATTATGCAAACAAGCAGTAATTGTGCATTAAACTGCGCAGGAGTGTGTCACCCCTACCCCTTGTTTTCGAGTGTCAACTTGCCTCTTGGAACTGAGTTAGTGGTTGTAATCTTCCCTATGAAATTGCACCCTCAAATACATGTGTTCTTTTGTTTTTTGTTTTTTTTTTGCTTTTTTGACAATATCAACATGTTCAATTTTCAAAGTCAGAATCACTTTGAAGTGTGGGGGACTGTGTGCCATACATTTAGACAGATTTGAATGTTAACCCCTAAACCCCAGGGCCTGTATGTAGGCCTACTCATTAGTTCCTCACATAACTTAGACATCAGTTCCATATCATTACATATCATTGTAGTGACTGAATACTTCACAGTGATAACTGAATAATAAGTCTTTAGATTAATGCCTGAATAATAAGCCTACAGTTCAAGGGGTTAACTCCTTAATCTGCTTTGTCCATATGCTAAGGCCTCTTACAGTAACTACAGTAAGTAAACAGAAAACAGTGCAAAGTCACTGAGTCGTTATTAAGGGATGCACTGATCCAACATTTTCTCTCCAGATACCAGCAATATCTGAACCAAGCATACTGGATGATGCCTAATCCAGTGGTTGGCACTCGTGTTTTGTGGTAGCAATGCACAGAAATATTAATATACAATACAGACTAATGTACCACAATGCACCACGGTTTTAGGATTGCTCGTTTACTAATAATTTATATTGTTCTACAACTTTTAAAAACTGTATTGAACTGTAAGGAATGAAAATCTTCACAGCTCCACAAAAGTAAAAGGGTTAACCAAAAAGTTCTACTGCCCACACAGCCAATGCACAGAAGATCCCCAGAGGCATCTCCCTGCTCCCTCGCCCACTCCCTCCCTCCCTCCCTCCACACCCCCACCCCCTCAGCTTGTGCTTCATCCCGGTGGAAAGCCCCAGCCCAGCCCCCAGCTTCTATTCAGCACGACTGACGCAGAACCGGGGGCGGCGCGCTCTGTTTCCGGCAACACTTCCTCATAGCGTAGGGTGTTCCAAAACAAAAACATCAAATGCTGGGCTATAGCTAAAACACACACGCACACACACACATTCACACACACACACAGGTACCTGTGGTCAGGTGGTTCTAAGGGATGGAAAATGTACCGAGCTAAATTTCCAATAAGCAGCACTTCTATGAACGCGTCCGCCCACATTAAACGTCTACCTTGAAGTGAGCAGAGCTATATTTACACTGCCCATCAAGGAAGAAACGCACCAACACGCACACTCAGATACCCAGATGTGAGTTTTAGTTATACTGTGGCTCTGCTTGGAATATATTATATAGACAGACAGACAGACAGAGAGGTTTCCTTGTATCTCCGTGTCATAAAGCTTATTATTCAGTAACTATACATGGAAAACAATACAGAATTATTGAATTATCATTAAATTATAGGAGTTCATAAGCAGTACATTTAAGATATAGGAGTTTCCAAAACTGGAGTCCAAAAAATGAATTAAACATACAGAGTAAATGGGACTCCTAACAACCACCTGAAAGACTTGGTAGACACCAACACTGTCCCCATCAGATAAACAGTGCCTGAAGCTTTCATCTTTGAGAGAGAGGAGAAAATCAAGCTCCACTCTTGATTCAAATCTGAAAATATCCACAGGTGTTTCTGTCCATCCTTCCACTGTGAGGACACAACTCAGCTCTATGGGTCTAAAAGGACGTGTGGATGTCAAAAAGCTGTTACTGAGAAAAGGAAACAGACAAAAAAGGGAGAAAATTTGCAGTAAAACACTGAA